CTGAAAAACCAAGTACCAGAACCGGGAATACATTTTTCGAAGATAGTAAGGTTTTATAGACCAGCGTGCACCTTGTCTATTCCTTTATTACTTTAAATCAGAGGTTTCTTCGGTTGTTAACTCGGGATTATTTGCAAAGTTACTGCTTTCGATGGACCTCCACTTTTTTGCTCTCGAAGCGGAGGTTTTGAAAAACATTATTTAAATTTAATGATCTTTTTTTTAATTTACTGAATATTGGTGGTTTATACATGAACGCACCTAAGGTGTGAATCCTGGTGGCTCACTTTGAGAATCACTGATCGAAATCCTTAGAGCATTACAGCATTACGCTCAAAGCGCTTTAATGGTAAACATATTAGTGCAAGTCACGCTGTAGGGATTTAATGCTATATGCTATCTCCTGTCGACAAACAGAGATTGGGCATCTCACAACACTAAGGCGATGAAGCTAATGAAGCGTGATATTATGTACTATAATTACTATTACCAAGTCTGTAAGCAGCTAACAACTAACCATATATCTACCAGTAAGTGTAAACGCAGAAGAAACGTTACCATACAAGACTAACATTTTATAAATACGAGACAACATTTTTCTATAATATATGAGTGTTTCGGGAGTGAAAACTCTACTGCTAGTTACTTCAACTTATAAGTTCAAAGAAAAAATTTAAGTTAACTCTACAATGTCTTTATGATTGTTGTAAAATTTATTTAACTCATGCTGATGGCAAAGCCAAGCTTGCTCGAGTTCCGCTTATTAGTAGGTAGTAGGTACACAGCCTGAAATAAACTGTTTAATACTTAATATTCAGCACGACGGATTTAGTTATTCTGTGATATATTCGTAAGTTCTGGATATTTAAAAGGAAGTTAATATTATCGATCGTTAAATGTCACCCAAAGTTACTTTTTCCATAAAGGAATATTTTGTATCAAGTAAGATATTTTTTTGTAATAAGCATGTGAAAAACGTAAACATTTAAATTGTTTATGCTTTCGCTGACATTATTTGTATACTAATACGCCTAACACTTGCCTCTATTTTTCCGGTAGGGGCAATGACTAATTTTGAACCCTCAGTTTTAACCGTTCAGGGCGAGTGTTAATTTTTTCGCGGTCGCGTCGCGCCTTACACTGTTGGCCAGGGAAACATGCCGACTGTGCTTAATTTATTTTGTTTACCAACAATTCTCATCGTTGTTTTACATACGTACAGTCGGGGAAACTGGGGATGTTCCACCTTAAAAGCTAGAACAGTCTGAACTTTGAAGCGAGACGCGGTGATCAATGCATCGCAGCTTATAAATGTATTTGTACCAAAAATGTCGGTTAGTGGTACACGACTAGTTTGTTTTTATTGTTATCCTTTCGTTTGCACCATTCACTGGTATTTAATTAGTTATTCGTAGGAAGACGCGAAGTTTGTTCGTTGCAATGAACAAGGTAATTTTTCCTGAAGTGGAACACCTCGAATGTCCGCGACTGTACCTACATTTCATACCACGGATTTTCAGTTAAAAGACAGTCATATAGATAACACTTCTTTCATATAGATAACACAACACCACAACATTTTTAACAGTGGTAGTGCCCGCTTTAACATCTTAGCACACATAGGCCGGCACGCCCGGTGTAATGCCACGACCACACAGAAGACAAGCGTGAAATGGAAGCAATTCCGTGTTACGTCTGACGAGTTTGGTGCCGGAGGCCTAATTTAAGTCCCTTTCTCTTTACCATCCTTTTCTTATAAGCGAGGTTGGGAAGAGGAAGTGGATTTGACGATGGAGTAGATGCATAGGAAGGGGAAATATCCTCTTCAAATGCGTCTCCTCCTCCTTCGTATAAAGGTAGGCAACGTATCTGCAATTGCGGATGTCTATGAGCAGCGGTCGCTTCGCCATTTTGGTGGATTGTAGTGTCCGCTTGCTCGTTTGCCACCTTATGTTATAACAAAAAAAAATCCGATGAAAGTTGTTCCTGATAATCATAAATGGTTTCTACATTATCGAACACTAGTTCTGTAAGAGCCGCTTTATACGGACTACTTAAAATAAAATTTACATGGCCCATACAGCCTTCGATTTTTCGAATTTTCATATATACATAATTTACCCGACGTTCTTACGGTGAAGGAAAACATCGTGATGCAACCTGCACATATCGGCGAGGAAATTCAAAGATATGTGTGAAGTCAACCAACCCGCACTTGGCCAGCGTGGTTGACTATGGCTTAGACACCCCTTATTAGGGTAGGCTCCGAGCCCCTCGGTGGGGACGTCTAGTGAGCTGGAGACGATACAGCCTTCAGTGCAATGTAGTTCGAGGGTCAATTCATTTTCCACCTAGCAGATGGGGTTACGACCGCCGATTGATGGAACCGTATATCCTTTGTACTTAGCATAAGTTCTTTAAGTTTAAGTATATGAATACTGTAGATTTAAATGTTTCATTAAAAAAAGTATCATAGAGTTATACTCGTATTTATTGTAAGAATTTAAATAAATGTTTAACTTTAAACCAGGTTTTTTGGTAGTATGCTGTTATGAAACTAAGTAAACAAATTAATTGGTCGTTGTTCCAAGAATATTTCATGTGGCAATATTCGTAATGAGACGACAACAATGCATTTCGCGATTATTTTGCGCCAAGGGATTTTCGCAACATATAATTTGCTCTCTACTCGTACAGTAGGACACAATGTACCTACGTCAGTGTTAACATTTCATATTCTTTTCACTTGTAATATAAAGGAGACTCTAACTGAAGAGTATCTCGTTAGCAATTGTTTTTAGTAACACTAAGATCGAGCGCACACATTTGACTAAACTATCGCACAACAGTTGTGCGATATTCTGTTGTTTCGCAGCCAATTCAACTGTTTAGTTGCACAACTAAAAATCGCGCAGTAAGCGCACCATATAAGCTCATAGGAATGAAAGCGCGACTAAACAGTTGTGTGATACTTTAGTCAAAGGTGTGCGTGCGCTCTAAAGTAGGACTTAAATACTACATGTCAATATTTTTTTATTTTTTTCCAGAATTCGATATTAAAATTTTTACCAATAATTTCACACGAATTAGGCATTAAAAAGAAGTTTTTCATTGGATCAGATGCAAATACAGTTATAAAGTTCAGTGCTGGTTCTCGTTAAGTAGCTAAAGTAAAAGAACTTACTTTTGAAGTAGTCTCGAAAATCTCAACTAGGTAACTAAATCAAACTCACCTTTAAGGAGGAAGAAATTTCCGACTAAAGCTAAAGATGAACTTGTCTGAAGGATGCAACGCCATGTAATATTGCTACGGAAATCGCGAAGATGATGTTAGCGGCATACAACTTGACGTATTCAAGTTGTTATAAGTTCTTTTCAAAATCGAAAATTTATTTTCAATATTTGTCGCTGGATTTGCAATAGTTGGATTTGGGATTTCTACGCATTTATTATTTTTAAGAAAGTAAAGCTTCTAACTAATGAATAAGTTTTATTGAAGTTTAAACAATTTGTACATGCATTTTTATTGTTTTGTTATTGTAACATTTTCATTTTGTTAAAACAAATCTCAATCCATCAAGCTGTTTAGTTTACAGAACGGTTGTATATACTCACATAGAGACTTTAGATACCTTTATCTTACTGTTGATAAAGTATGGTGCAATTATACATACGTATGCAAATTTACATTTGGTTTATTTCGCAACATTCGTAGCAAGCTCTGGCATCAACGGTAGTTAATTGCATCTGTTGTGATAGGAAACTAAATCAATATCGCAAGCGGTATCGCTACTCTAAGCGTAACTTCGTCGAGAGCGTTACTGAATTACTTACTTGACTAGGCACACGCGCAGCTTCTACAGGATGGGAAACTTAACAAGTTCAACGATGGCAAATTCCGTTCTAGATTAAGGGCATTGAAGAGAATCGATTTAACTATTGTAATTTGTAACCTAACAAATTGCTTCCTGACATGTTCATAAACGAATTACAGTGAACGCACTTAAATTGATATCAGCGATCTAAAAAAAAAATTAATTTTCTACGAAAATTAGGTAGTAGCTTGTGGCTTATTTTGGTTAAAAATCATACAGCCAATGCCTTAAGTTAGACGAACGCTCAAAATAATATACTCGTTGAACCGTAAAAAATATACGTCAAATCGAAAAGTGAGGGAAGAAGAAGAGGGCTGGAATTGGGTGGGCACCGCTTTCAAAGAAATGAAGCGGACTCTTCAAGTCTGACTTCTACGGGTTGGTATGTCATCTGTCTAACTGTGGTAGATCCTCAAGCAACACATATTGCTTGAGGATCTACCACAGTTAAATAGCCAAACATTATTACGAAAATAAGCCTGAATTAGTAAGTAATGTTATTATAACATGTATGAACAGCGAACGTATCGTAGGCGTAAAGTACACTGACAAAATTCATACAAATTTTGTCTATGCTGTTAAGAATATAATATAACTAATGATCGTGCTAGACCCCTGATCAAATGTATATTACGTAAATAATTGTTAACCAAACATTTGCAATTAGCTCAGTATAATAGTAACATTCCAATGTACATACAACGGCAACATTCGTGACTAAACGTGTGAAAATTGAAAATAGATAAATACATTACTGTTAGAGATAACAGATAAAACTATCAAAGATTATCATCATAAGTACGGAGATAACGTTAAAATGGCAATCGTTTGAAAATTATTTTATGGCGCGAATATTTAAAATGTTCAATTAAATTAATTTCTATTTTAATATGATTGTCTATTATGTTAGTGAACATTTTATTTTTTTAAATTTGCATACAATTCCTCTTGATGCAATTGTTGAAAAAAAAAATATTTAAGGTTATAGAATTTAGTTTTAAAAATAGTAATATATTATCTGTGCTCACATGAACCAATAGAACAGTGTTGCGCGTATACTGATAAAGTTCTATCGTCACACTTCCTTCACTACGATTATACGGTTTGTACAGGTGGGGTCGGTGCGGTGCGGTGCGGTGCGGTGCTCGGTGCTAGTGCTGCTGATAACAAGTGTTCTCAAATACTTTTGCCACGAGAAATAATAATTTTACATGTGTCGTGATATAAAATTCATTTTCGTAATGTTTAAGTGAAGTTAGAAAACTGAAATAAATCAATAATGGATAAGTCAAAACATAAAACAGGAAAGAAAATGGATAAGAACAATGGTAAAGAAAAATCACCTCTTTTTGTGTCGGATGTCAAAAACTTAAAAGAAAATCTTAAAATCAAGGAGATTTTAAGAACTGTTAAAATGAATAGCAGTATGCGCTTAAAGTCACCACAATGCAATAAAACTATTAACAATAAAGACGTCAACGACAACCAAGATTGTTTTGAGAGTGCTTCACAGGAACTACAAGACCATACGACAGTTGAATCAAATCCAAGTGCAACTAACCATAATGTCATCACATCAACATTAAATGTAGATACAGGAACGAGTGATAACGATTTACAAAAAAATGAGGGCATCAAGGTCACTATTTATGAAGTACCAAACACCTGTACAGAAAGCAATGACAGTCTATCGTCAAACACGTTGTCAGAAAATTGTAATGACCTTAAAGAATCAAAAAATAATGAAGAAATAACTGGAACTGATAACAATGCCAACGAAGTAACCTCTTCGTCGAAACCAGCTAACCATATGACAAATTTAAAACCAAGAGACAGAAAACTCTCATTAGATCAAACAATTTTATCAAGACGCGCAGGCTTATCACAATCAGAATTAGATTTAAATTTAATTGGTAAATCTCCATTGGAGCGTAAATCTTCGTTCTTTAGAAAGAAGATGGACAATTTTCTGAAAAACACAACAGAAATATTTAAAAGACAGTCACAAAGTTTTAAATCACAACCTACACAGAGAAGGGGGTCCAAGTCGATTTCCTTACAATCTCTAACCGACAAAAATTATCCTAGTAACGGTTATAATAACGACGGCACGTTACAAATTCCGCAGGTAATTTATATCTGGTCACGTAACATAATCAATTACAGCACCATATGTGACCTTTGTTATAAATACAATCACACATAATGCGTTTACCTTCAATTAGATTGAAACATTGTCGACTATTTGAATAATGCACCACTTATGTATGTATGTCCAAACATTGTCGAAGTGATTATTAATCGCTGATAATTGAATAGTACGTTGTATCAGAGTAATATCGAATCGTGGAGTAGTTGTGTAATAACCTTTCGCATAAACTCTTATTATTATGTTATAGTACAGGCTTTGGCCCGCGACTCCGTCCGCGCGGAATTAAAAAAAATCAAAAGTAAGTAGCCTATGTGTTCTTACTGACTATCGTCTACATCTATACCGAATTTCATAGAGATCCGTTCAGCCCTTTGGGCTGCAAAGTCTTACAAACATCCATCCATCCATCTAATCTTTCGCATTTATAATACTAGTATTAGTAAATTTTCTAATAATAGTAATAACTGTAATGATGACTTACAGAATAACACTGGATTTTCAAATGCTAATTATGTTTAAAGGAGATGAGGAACAGTGCAACAAGTCTGGTACGGAGTTCGTCGATGGCGAGTAGCATAAGTCCGGAGGGGGTGGAACAAGACAGCCCGTCGGCCAGTCAACCTGTCTTGTTCACAAGTCAGCCACTTGGAGATTACTCTTCAAATAGTGTTAACAGTTTGTATTAACAGATTTTATCTCACCTTACTTTTTATATAGTAAATGTAAATACACAAAATATTACTCTGTACATCTGATATACGATTACGAAAAATTACAAACATCTTAATAATCAAAACGAGACATTTAAAATATATTTGAAAAATAACACTTTCAATAAAACCGATCACATTGACCTGAAATTGATTTTCTGTCATTAGTTTGTAAAAATGCTGAACTTAAACTGCGAACTATTTTAAGCTATCGGTAAAAAAGAAGTAATTTTGTAACGACATTTCAATAATAATTTCCAGATTTGAACGAGCCGTATGTACAAGAATCGCTTTTAAAATCCCGAGCAATATCCATGAGCTCTGGTTTAGACGCCCCGCAGGGGAGACTGCGGCGGAAAGCATCCAAATCTAACAGGTAAGTGATGGATCACATTTCAAACAAATATATCATTGTCTCTTCTCATGTCAACCAACAATTTTTACGATATACAGAAAAAAATATTAAAACCCAGGTTTATTTTCATAGAATAGATTTAAATTTAGAGAGCGAATTAAACTAGTCTCTGTTTAATTTCGTAAAGTTATTAAAATTTTAAGTTTTAGTAATAAGTTAATTTAAAACAACTTTGAAAATGCTAACAATGACTACCTACTTAGCGTACCTTATGAAACTTAAAGGTTCATGGCCAGATATTACTTTCCTGGAATTTTAACATCAAAGAAATAACATTATTAGCTTTATATTTACGTCTAAATAACTTCAAACTATAATACTAATATAAAGTGAAATATGTTACTACCTCATAATACTCTCGATATTAACAAAACATTACGACAGTTTTAGGTAATTGTTAAAATTTCTGCAGAAAGCGATTATCTAAGCGACTTACGAACGAACCCTTCCGTCGAAATCTACCCAAAGAAGGGTGACCGAGAAATTGAATGAGTATTTTCATTATTTTGAGCTAACGCATTCATTGTTATAAATGAACAGACGTTCTGTTATATTAATGCTTCTAAAATTGAGTACAGGATATTCTTTGAGGTTATGTTTTATCCTTTTATTCGGTATGAAATATAAAAATAGCAATTCACAAAACACACAAATCTTTTACTAATAAATTTTTACTTCCGTTTACCTAGGCTTTCTCATTTAGTTCAAATAAAGAAAAATATTTCATTATTAAAACTATACGTTGTAACACCCCGGCGCAGAAATACCGGACTTCCTCCTTTGAGTGTTGGCTTTCTATTGCCTTAAACATTTGTACAATCGTATTTCTATTTGTCATTTCAGCAGCCGTTACATACCGTAGATATCAGTTTATTGCCTCACATAACAAATATGAGCCTATATTTATTGTCAAATAAATTGTGCAAACGGGTGATTAACGATAAAGGATGTCGCGTGGCGCTAATTGTGAAGCGATAAAAACGTTTTTACTACCTACCTCGTTCTATGAAAGCTTTGTATTCAATCGTGTTAATGTTATCTTCAAACGACAAGCATCGGTTTATCAAATATGTAAAATACACCATTTTCAACAATTTTAGCAAGCTTAGTATTTTTACAATACTTTAAGTTAAGCAGAAGAAAACTGATATTCTAAAATCGGAAAATATAGATGCCGTCATTGTAGAACGAGTGAGCATCACTTGATCTCATAAGCATCGAATATTCTATTTTCTCTTTAGAGATTATTCAAATTAAAACCAAACAACTTAATATTCACACTAGACTGATTAACGGTCGCGACATTCTTCAGATTTATTGACGTCATCTTCATCTACATTAAAATTATGCAGACATTAGCATGTGGGTGACGCAAATTCTTAATATTCAACACATACAAAGTAATTTACAGGTAAGAAGTTCAAAAGATAAAGATTTCGATTCTGATGTCAATACATAACACATTGAGTATCATATTGTTCATGAAATAAGCTTTCAAGAAAGCTGATAAGCCCGTGTTAAACTGCGATATGTGTACAATTGTATGACATCGATTTAAAATAAGGATGTTCTCAGAAGTCAATTGGTTTTCCAGAGTCACGTGGTTAGCAAGCGAAGGTCTAACGAATTACTTCAAACGTGTAATGCAAGATGAGAAGAGTAGAGAGGTGCAGTCATGCCATTCGTACCAGGATTTTTCGAGCATACCAGAACACGCGTCGTACGGCCCGACAACTGACAGCAAAGGGAGGCGGCTGTCGTACCAACGCGCTGTATCGGGGGAGGACCCGGTACACCCAACGAGGTACTACGACACATCACAGAGGAGAAAGAATTTCATACCGGAACATCAAGTGGTAAGCATCGTACTATTTCATTTTAAAAGCCTACTCACGTCCGATATCTTAAAATGTCGAATTTTTATGAGATCTCTTTCACGGATCGTTGTAAAATTAGGCTACTCCACAATCATACTAATATAATAAATGCGAAAGTTTATATGAATGGATGGATGGATGTTTGTAGCCTAAATTGCTGAACGGATCTCCATAAAATTTGGCATAGACGTAGAGTAGTATATTCTAGAAAAACACATAGACTACATGCCTTTGTTTTTGGTGTTGCAGGCGAAAACTAGTAGGATCTAAATCTAAATATAATATTCTATAACTTTCTAACTCGCCCCAGTAAAGAACATAACCTGTAAAAATAAATATATTCGATGAAACCATCAAACATGTATGCTCATTATCCAACGTATTTCTCTGTAATGTTGTCAGTTAAAAGTTCGTATTGAACTATGACCGCTGCGCTAGTACAGTTGAATAGAAAAGTACTGTGCCGACTCTCCGTAGGGAAATAGACACGGGGATGTTATTACATACTTAGTAGTGTGTTCACAAATTAGTGTTGTGTTTATATTACAAACTAGTTGTTGCCCGCGACTTCGTTCACGCAATTAAGATAAAAAAGAAGCTTATAACATGCCCGTCGTTGTCAGCTACCCTTCAGTAAAAGTCCGACCCAGCCGTTTCGGAGATTACCCGGAACAAACGCGGCTTGCTTGCGGGCAGACAGACAAAGCATTTTTAAATGCGATTTTGTTATCAGCAACGTAAATACATCATCTTGAAATCTGGAATTTTTTATTTGATATTACAAACAGATACACCAATTTTATTACATGTCTAGATATAGGAAATTATAAAACATATCAGTATATATATAATTGAAAAAGTTATACTCGTATGTAATCTAAATAGGATTCATTTCGGATACATTTTCGAGCGCAAATAGTGTATTTCCATGTGACGTCACGTCGAAGTTTGTTTATATGGGTATCGCGTGCGACACGCACAACCTATCTCAATTCTCATACTCCTTCAGAGCATACGCTAGTTTCGTATTTATTGACTTTATTGATTCAACATAGTAAATCGAACAATATGTGCGCATTTAAGATGTGAATTAAAAAAATAGCTAACGCTTGTTACATGTTACTAATGTTGTAGAAATAAAATAATCCAATTTCGTAACTCACGACAATCATACTAATGTTATACGAGTAAATACGAAAGTTTAGATGGATGGATTTTTGTTAGAGATTGTAGCCTAAACTGCTGAACGGATCTCGATGAAATTTAGTAGAGATGCAGAGGATAGTCTGGAAGAACATATAGGCTAACTCACTTTTTTAATTCTACGCGGACGTAGTCGCGGACAAAAACTGGTTACATATAAAAATAAAAATGGTAATTTAAATCATTAGCGGTCTACAAGTAACTTTCCCGTGATATAATTTTAGTGCTACTTATTGATATCTATTTAAACATGTACTTAACTAAATGCAACCGGTAACTTTTCTAAGTGCCTTTGAGTAAAAAACCATAAAGTAACTTTTTAATACTACTTTTTAATTTTCATTTGAATTAAGTTAAGCAATGGTTCGAAAATTCAATTGCATATTTTTAAGAAAAACTACAATCCAAATTTGGTGAATACTAGAAAATTAAATACAAGCCATTTCATTAAAATGTTAAAATGTCAAGAATCTTACTTGTAACGTAATATTGGAAAGAAGTTCGGTTAAATACATATTGTATTTCCTCAACGTGATACGAAACTTTTGGAGCATGTGCTTTATAATTATTATCAAGCTCCGAATAAGTACGTAACCGTATTTGAAATTTCGCGAATAAATAAATTTTTTAGTAAAACTAGCTTTTGCGCGTAACTTTGTCTGCGTAGAATTAAAAAAAAAACTAGTTAGCCCATATGTTTTTCCAGACTATCGTCTACATCTATGTCGAATTTCATCTTGAATAGTTCAGTAGTTTAGGCTAGAAACTCTAACAAACATTCATCCATCTAAACTTCGCATTTAGAAAAATTTAATTGCATTTTTCAGTTTCGTTGCTGCGCCTAGGGCCTAGGGGCCGTTGGATATTAGCCTTTAAAAAATTTTAATCTATAGAAATCTTTGACACTTTGTTTGTCTTTCAAAAGAAAAAAGAGTGTATCGAGACAAATCTTGTTTAGCTAAGTTTTATTTTAAGTACCATTAATTTACCTGTCTAGACAGACTACCAAAATATTACAACCAATGGTGGCCACATTTAGTTATATTAGAGAACAACATATCGATTTTCAGTTTAAATTTAATTTTGTTGTAAAATGATTAAATAATTTTTAGGTTTTGATAGACACAAACGGAAATTAACATCATTAAATACAGTGGAACATTTCAAAACGATATTATAATAAACTTTATAATATAAGTATCTCAAAACATGATAGGTTGTGAATATCCATTTGTTGCGGTCAGCGATCCTACCTCTCTCGCCTTTTCCACATTATATTACATCTACGCATATACGAGTATGGTCGCCGGTCACGGCAGCTCTTAATACTTTAGCAATCGTTTATTATTTATTTTGTCTGTTTGAACATCGCGGCAATAACATACATACGTAAAATTACAGTTTTAAAAAATCATTAAAACGTTTTACATAAGCTTGCCAATACAAGGCATATACGGGCTACATTTATAAATAAACACACAGTCATTCAAATTAAAATCTGTTTTAACAGCAACTAATTATACGATTTCTGAATGGACATTTGTGTATGCAATATAAGGTGTATGCAAACTAGAGATCACCTATTGGTAGAAATTTAACTATAGTAATCTTACTCATATTATAAATGCGAAAGTTTAGATGAATGGATAGATGGATGTTTGATAGAGTTTGTAGCCTAAACGGCTGAACCGATTTCGATGAAATTTGGTACAGATGCAGAGGATAGTCTAGAAGAACACATAGGCTACTTACTTTTGTTTCTTTCAATTCCTCGCGGACGAAGTTGCGGGCGAAAGCTGGCTCATAAATAAAATTTGATCAATATTCCCAAAGGGAATATAAGCACTAAATTAGCTTAGACGATTAATATTTTATAAATTTATATATATAATAAGTTAATTATGTTATATGTATTAAGTTATTTTAACAGTGGTAGTGCCCGCTTTAACATCATAGCACTGTAGGGCCGGCACGCCCCCGGTAATACCACAACCACATAGAAGACAGGCGTAAAATGGAACCAATTCCGTATTTCGTCTGATGAGTGTGGTGCCGGAGGCCTAATTTAAGTCTCTTTCTCCTCACCACCCTTTTCTTATAAGAAGAGGTTGGGAAGGGGAAGTGGATTTGACAGTGGAGGAGATGCATAGAAAGGGGAAATATGCTCTTTATGTGCGTCTCCTCCTCCGTCGTATAAGGGTAGGCAACACATCTGCAATTGCGGATGTCTATGGGCAGTGGTCGCTTCGCCATTTTGGCGGCGCGCCGCTTGCTCGTTTGCCACCTTATGTTATAAAAAAAATGGGTATAATGTTTATTTTCAATGAAATTTGCATTTTTATGCTTTCTGCACTTCTCTACATAATCTTGAACTGTGTCAAATTTCACGTTCATACGTTCCCGTAATTTTCATACAAAGAGATACAAAGTTTCGGCTTCACGTATTAATATGTACCCATGTTGTGAAAAATGAGAAGATTGTTATAATAGACTGATGGAAAATAAACAATAGGGCTGTCTCTTCATAAGATTCCCATAACTATAATGGCATAACCCTTTAACCTTAACTGACAACCTCGTCTAGACCCGGCGTCGTTTTTCCTTCGTAAACGTTAACAAGAATAGAGAAACTATTTACAAAAAGTGTGATTAAGAATACGTATTTATACAAAACTACGTGCGCTACAGATGTGCTACGAGAAAACTGAAAGTGTCTTTTCAGTTGATGCTACAAGTGAGTCGTAGACAGAAAAATAACGTAGCGGTTTAATTTTTTTTATCATGTTGTGGTATGTGTATTTTCATAAAACAATATACATTTTGAACATTTTATAATTACCATACAAATTAACAAATATATTCTTAAGAAATCAGAATTGTACGCACATCATAATTACGTTAATCTTTTTTAACTTATTGATATGTCGCAATTTAAATAAATGCCAAACAAATTTAAATCATAATATCGCTTTTCTTATCTTACTGGTATTATAAATGCGAAAGTTTAGATGGATGGATGGATGTTTTTTAGAGTTTGTAGTTTAAACGACAGAACGAATCTCGATGAAATTTGACATATACGAGAGGATAGTGTGGAAAAACACATAAGCTACTCGATTTTGATTCATTTACTTCCACGCGGACGAAGTCGCGGGCGAAAGCTAGTAAACAATAATGTGATAAAACGTTTTAATTACACCGCAAAACATTTGACAAAGTTTTAAGTCACAGTTCTAGATATGATTGAAAGCTTGCAAAGTCACGTATTCAAGATCAAACCCCCGATCTATTGCACTCGCGGCAAAACTCTCCAAACTTACGTCTGTTATTATATTGGTAGCAGAAGATATAATACTAGGTTCGAACGAAATTGAAATATGTATTTCTGGAAGGAGATTTTGATCGTTACAAATTATATAATTCTTTAGTTAGAACTTCAAAATCTAACTATTTAACCAGGAATGTTACTGGATATTATTGGGCTTTAAACAAAATAAAACATATTTTTTTAATCATGCTACTAAAGCTGGCTATCAATTCAACTTTCGCGGGCTTCTAGAACATGCGATTGGATTTTAAAAATAGATGTAGGCGGGATGGAGGAAGGATGCCTCTCTGCGCAGGTGGTTGGCGCAACCAAGCCGCCGGAGGAGACTTTGGAACTCCCCACTATCGGTGGAGCAAGGCTGGAATACGCGCGCGTTACAAAATCATCCCTCTGGCCACTTTACGATCATTAGCTGTTTCTTTATAATTTTTGATGTTGAAAAAAAATG